AAGGAACTGGGAAGCACCTGGGAAGGCTTCATGGAAGATGCGGTATAGAAGAAAGCATTTTAGTCAAGACAGGGTTAGAAACCAGTGCAGCTGCTAACTACTGGGTTGTCAGAAAAGTCATGACGTATTTTTTCTATGTTTTTCGTTACAAAAATGAGTCATGACTTTTCCAACAACCCAATAGTTAAGCAACATGGACAGATGCTAAGCCTTTCTAAGACTTGGCTTCTCAATGAACAAAAGGAGGATAATAATATCTATATAGTCAGCTTACCATAAGAAGGGGAAGAGATATTGTGCATAGAGCAATCAGCACGGTTTCTTGAAAACAATAAGCACTCAATAAATTGTACTGATATCATTTATTATTATTATTATTACTCAGTCCTGAAAAAAGTTACCAGTGACTTCTGGAGCTCAGTTAGCAGTAGCCATCGTATCACTATCACTGGCCTCATCACACCTTGTCAGGTCCACATGTACCATGTTCAGGCTGAATGAATACCTTAGCTGTGGGCAACCAACAACTAGGAGGACAGAACTAAGAACGTAGTTTGAAGAGTAATCAAATTCACAAGCAACTTCACTTTCTATAAGGTCACAGTTCACGAAAGAAGAAGATGATAGGGTTATTACCATAGTGATATCAATAGGAAAGCAAACACACAGGGAAAAGATCTCTTATTTGCCACAAAAGGGGCATTAGTCAACACACATAGTAGCAAATGCTAGTATATCTGATTAAGTCATTATTACCAATTGCCATCATATGGTAAGTATGGGATGAGAAAAAGATTAAAGTGAAACTTTCAGGAGTCCAAAATGGTAAAAAACAAACAAACACAAAAAACCCCACAGGCTCTACAGGAGGTATCATCAAGGTACTAAAGGGAGGAAGGGGGACGTAACGGAAGATGCATCTTAAGAACCCGTATGTCGTGTTAAAGAGCTTATCTTTAGCCTACGGGTAATGGAGAGGCATTGCAGACTTTTTAAGATGAGGTAAAAATATTATTTTAATCTATTATTTTATCTATTATTTCTACTTCACATCCAAATTTAGTAAGTATTACATAAACTCATTACTATGTTTCTTCAGTTCCAGGGTGTTTTTCATATACAAATGCTTGAGATACCTCTTTGTCAGCTACATCATCATTTAAAATGAATCCCATATTGTTTAATGTGGTAATATGTCAAAAACAGGGTTTGTAGATGCTACATACTCATACCTGACTACATGCCAGCCTGTTAGGGATTAAGAATTCTCCCTCCTTTCCTTTTATTCACTACACATGTATTCAATATCTACTATATAACGTACCACACATAATGCTAGATTCTTGATAAAACCTCAAAAGTGCATCCTATGTTAACTGTAATATGTATCTTCTATTTCTATGAAGATTTAATAAAATCTATCATCAACAGGTCTATTTTACAACCCCATACTTTTAAATAATGATAGAAACTTTGGTATTTCCCTTTCAATGACTACCCCTTTAAAATGCTCAATAAAATTTTTTTTTAAGCTGGCAAAAGGGTTTTAAAAAAAATCTCAGCAGTCAGGTGAATGTGAAGCGAACAGAAAAGAAGAAGAAGGAAAACAGCCCAGTGAAGTGCTCTATAATTAAAGTCTGTACCATGAAGCATCTCCCAGAAACACAAGAAGGCTGGGTACCACCAATATAATTCTCAAGAAATCGTCATGGTCAGGGTATTAGAGCATCAGAGTAGTTATTTCAAGAGCGGGTTCCTTCTAACGCTCCAGTTTAAAAGAAATCACCACCTGTCATTCACTGGTGTTATTTATTTTTCTGTTTTCCTCTTTTCTTACTGGTGAACTCTCTTCAGCACTCTTTAGATAAGTCAAGTAATTTCTGTAGATTGGTCTAAGCTTAGCAAGAGGGAAATGGGAAATAATGTATTGGTGAGCACGGGCTGCGGCTCACCAGGTTTGGGCTCCCTTCCCTAATGTCCTTTTTCACTCTGGGAAGCCAGGGAAGCTTCTGGAGATCAGTTACCTGTCCTATTACATAAGGATGTGTTTATGGAACACTGAAAACTCTGGGCTCTTCCACTCAGAGGAGGCTGAAAACTACCAACAGGTTTTGTCAAAGCAACAAAGGAAAACTTTCAAAGCCCTTACTTCTGAATGGTGTGGGCCTTTTATTCTTGCACACCTTTGCTTGTTTCATTTTCATCTGGTTGCTTTGGACTGCCTTCTCCCTTGGTGGGGCAAAAAAGGACTGGCATACTTCCTGCTTATGAAGTGCATAGGAAAGAGTGGCTTTCTTTGGACAAACTCTCACCCTTGAAGCTCTTTTACTTTGTCATCTTCTGCTCCTTCTTCTGTCCAGAATGTTAAGACTTCAAAGACTGTACGCGGTCTGACAATTAAGTTCGTGAACTCATCCTAGAAAAAGTGCTACACACCTCACTGCTGAATATCACTACGGTCACCTACGAAGTACTCCCCTTGGGAAGCTATGCACCAATGCCAGCACCTAGTCCACCCTTCAAAGCAATTTTGAAACTCGTTTTCTTATTTTTATTTTATTTTATTTTTTTAGCTGAGCCATCCTGCCACCTGTTGGCAGCTCAGTGGCAGCTCAGCTCGGGCCATGAATCGAACCGGCAACCCTGTTGCTCAGAGCTCACACTCTTGAGCGAGCTCTTAACCAACTGAGTCCATCGGCCGGCCCTGAAACTCGTTTTCTTAAATGGCCATCAGAGCTGTCTTCGTATTACCCTTGATGTCCTGAATGTTATCAAAATGTCTTCCTTTCAATATTTCCTTTATCTTCAGGTAAAGAAAGAAGTCATTGGGGACCAGATCAGGTGAGTCGGGAGGGTGTTCCAATACAGTTATTTGTTGATGAGCTAAAAACTCCCTCACAGACAATGCCGTATGAGCTGGTGCATTGTTGTGATGCAAGAGCCATGAATTGTTGGTGAAAAGTTCAGGTTGTCTACCTTTTTCACGCAGCCTTTTCAGTACTTCCAAATAGTAAACTTGGTTAACTGTTTGTCCAGTTTGTACAAATTCATAATGAATAATCCTTCTGATATCAAAAAAGGTTAGCAACATTGTTGCAACAAGTTCATGAGTGGGCTCTACAATTTATTTTATGAAGAAGGATCTTCCTTTATTCATTCTGTTATCCACTATTTATTGAGCCATTCCTGGGTGGGCTAGATCCAGAGATGGACAGAACAATGTCCTTGACTCAGGAAAATGGCAATGTAGAAGCAAAAGCCAATTTTATAAATATATTACAGCAAGAATGTATAAAAGATAACGTCGTGACACTCAGAACTTATCATTCTGGCCACAGCCAATGAATTAAACCTCTGGTGCTTTTCCAGGTAAAATATAAAGTTATATTTATCATCTTCTGTTGAATTTTTAGACACTCTCCTGGAGTACCTATTCAGAGGTCCACAATTAGCACTACTTTAGGTACACGTGGTATTAGTTTACCTTGTAATTAATTGAAGTGCTGAATTTATCCCAAAATGTATTTGGTTAGTCACCTCAGAGCCAACACACAATTTCTTCCCCTTGTGTTTACTCCTTACCTGAACTTCTCTGACTCTGGCTACTACGGTTCTCTCGATCCTGGACAAAATTGTTTCCTGACTATATATTGGTAGAGCTTGCTGCTCTTCCTACTCATCACACATCTAGCTCATCTCCTGGTCTTTATGATGTATGTCTATACCCACTGCACACATAGCAAGACTGCTACAACTTTTAGCATATCTGATTTTTACAGATAATCACTTGCTTTCTCAAGTGCTGAGTTAAAGAGCACGTAAAAATGGACATGCCTGCAACTTATTTTTAAATAGCGAATCATAATTGTCCTACACAGTCCAAAATAACAAAGTTAACATATAAATTGTATTGCTTTACCAAAAGATCTGGGTAGGAAAATGTGAATAACAAAACTGAAATTGCTAAATTGCTTCATCATATATTTATAATTAACAATCAGTTGACTATCAACTGTTTTCAGAATTTCGAAAATGCGTTGCTGATAGTAGGAAGGCTTTTCAGCAACAAGCTCAACAAGTATAGGCCTCAAATCAAATCAACAGAAACAATTTTTTAAGCCTTTGAATATTCATTTGCATTTATGCATTAAATTACAGCAACTACACTTGCTTTTAAATTTTGGGGATGTTATTTTTCTGCAAAAACTAATGCAAAGAACACAACTGATTACAAATATAAGTGACTCGTTCTTTAACTTTTCACATGACTTTCCAACAGCATTAATTAAATTTCTTATCCACAAATATAGGTCTAATATAATCATTTTATTTTATATATTTTATTTCCCAAATAACAGTCATGGATCCTAGCATGTGCGTTTTCATTTCAATGGTTCTCCCTGTTCATATTCTTTCCTCATATTCATTGTAGCATTTGTCATCGGGTACCACAGTTACCTGTACACACGTCCGTTTTCTAGTTCAATGGTAAGCTACTTGAAGGTAAGCATCCTGCCTGATCCATGCAAGGTATAAAACTGAAATCAAGGATCTCACATTATTACAACTGCTTTTTTCACAGTGGTCATGAGAATAAATGGAAAAATACCAAACTCTGTGTCTCTTTAGATAATGCGATCTTCACTGTTGGTTGCAAAATTAATGCAACATATTAACAGCCCTGAACTCGATAAGGGTTATACATGGAGGAATTGAGGCAGATTTATGCAATGGAAAACTGAAGGGGTACAAAGAAGAAACAAAGAACTTTGACAAGATGGCAACATTAATTAATGGTGAGAAAGCAAAAACAAGATGTGCAGACTGACAAAGAAGGGGATTTGCAATTCTCAATTCATTCTTGGTAACATGGGACCACACACACACAAAAAAATGTGAAAGTGGTTTTAAATGACTCTCATGTGATGCTGCTGAGGCTGCCACATTGTCTGGGTTGGTTCCTGTCTGTGTCAGCATGGAAATGGGGTGCTTTTCCTTACCTCCAGATGCTCTAAAATATAGGGCGGATTTGTCATGCCAAGTCTCAGCATTGCTCCCTCGGGAATCACTTCCACCAGCTTCCACAGTAGTGCGGGGAGATCGGTGCCAATATCTCTGCCATAAGCCCCAGTGTCTTCACTGGTCAGCCATATCTCACACACACCCTCTGTGAATCAAAGGAGATAATTAACAAATCTGTTGCAGAGCTGTTTCCTTCATCATACAGCTGCTCACCCTTTTTAATGCAGTATTTCTCAACATTATTATGCAAGCAGTCTGGGTATTCAATTGCAGGGAAAAAAGCAGCTTATCCCACGGTGGCACTGGGTTATTAAGTTCATTTGATGAACACCAGAGAGTTACAACAATGCTGTAAATTATCAGAGTCCTATGGAGTGATTAACATTCATAGCCAATCAGTTCAATCGTGCTTCCTCCAAAGCACTTTGATGAAGACTAAAGCTTCAGGCCCATCACACAGGATGCCTCTTTTACTGAACACCAAAAGCCCTGGCACTGAACAGTCACTCTACAGAACAGGTACTATCAGCAGTTACCTCACTAATCAGTCTGTCACCCACCCAAGGAAAAATGTCAAGTGTAAGTTAAGGTTTAACTCACAAATCATTAATTATGAGGTATCCATTTCTCCTGTAGTAACTATTCTAATTTGTCTTCTTTATTCAATTAAGAATAGAATGCATCGTATGGCTGCATTCAAGAAGTTGGTTGCTGTATAAACTAAGTATTTGTGTTGGAAAACCTGTTTACTGACAGCTTGCATCCTATTTTCCATCAATCAGACCTAGGGAAAATGTATGTATGTTTTGTTGCTATTGTTACAAAGAATCCTGTCTTCAAGTATTACAGCCTACAGTAACTTCCTTCCAAAAATCAAAATGGAAATACTTTTGGATAACCTAGTATTATGTTAAAGAAATAAAACAGAGTTAGCAAGAGCCCCCCAGGTTTGCATGGGCACACAGAACCTTTCTGAACGCATATGCAATGACAGGATTAGCCTATTTTAAAAGGCCAAACGATTCACAAGGCTGGACAAACAGTAAAATGGACCTGTGAAATTTGTTCATGCTAAAGTGATTCATTGCTTCTGAAGAACCTCAACACATTCACAAAGTACACAAAGAAAGGCTACAGCCTGAACCAGAATTAAGTTTCTAGAAAGAGTCTTGAAATTATAATTTCAAATTGTCTTTAGTTGACGGAACAGAAGAATTTCAAAAATACATTTAAATATTCCTCACTAAGAGAGACAACAAATAAAACACATTGCTTTTATGTGAATGTGAACTTAAAATTTATAGAATACAAAAATAAAAAGTAAGGATCTTCACTCTCCTTAGTGTGTCTAACAGAGTTGAAAAAATATATACATGAAGATTTCCAATCACTACCATTTCCTTCTATATACTATAAGAGATATATTTACTTTATCAAAAAAGTAGCCAATCCACACAAAAACATGGTCACTTTTCCTCATTTGTCTGTCTTTTTGGGACATGCACATCCTCACCCACACCCATACAACATAGAAAATACAAGGATAGAAATAGGATTATAGGGTTTTAGTTTCCTGAAATTAATAAATCAATGACTTAGCATAGAAATTCAGCGATATCAAAACAAACAAAAAGCTCCATTTAAAAAGTTGGAGATGTTTTTAGTATTTGAAAGTCAGTAGTGTTATGAATATGTGGGTTTTCTTAATTTAAATTAAATATGCAGTTCCAGAAATTAGTAAACCATTGCTTAGTTTTAATCGTTTAATAAAAAATTTTTATCCTTAAAAGAAATAGTCTGGCATGTTTATAGTCTCCCTCTGTAGTCTTGTAATTTTATAAATATTCTCTATACATGGAGTAAATATTATTTTATTTTTAAAACTGGGTTGCAATTAGTGGCATCATCATCTTTATTTTAATATTACATATGCCATCAGACACTGGACTCATATCACACAATCTTTTTTTTTTTAAATCTTATCACAAAATCCATTCCAGGAAAAGAGATGGCTAAGTAACAACACAAACAGATTTTAATACACTCTGAAAAAGGTTATAAAAACAGGACATTATCCATGATTTTCCAGTTACTGGCATTTGAGCAACACAATATGAATATTTTAAAATGAACAGAATAATTTTAATTTATAATTTTTCCATCCAAATGGTTCCATGTTCCGCCTTATGTAGAGAGAGCGGGTTCCTGGAACAGTGCCTTGCTGTTGCTAGATGAATACAGAAGGGGGAAAATCACTGTGAATAGGAATGGAAATAACATCCACGCAGACACAGCAGCCAGCTCTTAAAGCTGCATAGGTGGGGACCAATAGCCCCCTGGTGGGCTGAAACTTCAAATTAAATCACATAAAGAGGAAGCAGCTGTAACACTAAATCAGCAACAACAGGAATAATGGTCTTAATGTCTCCAAGATCAAGGCTGCTAAAGTGCTCTCTATAATAGCAACCTGGTTTAACACACAATGAAATGAGAGAACACGTGCAAAATGGGAAACCCCTGGACTGCAGAACTGTGCCTGGCCGATTCAATCCAAAAATTTGTCAGAGATGATTTTGCTCTTAATCAAGGTGAGAAAGTTCAGATTTTGTAAGGTTGTATTTTAAGCATGAATTAAAATGAAAGCCGATCCCTCGAATAGTCAGGATATAGAAAGTGATTTCATACTACAGGTGAAGCTAAGGATGGACTCCCCACGCCTGACATCCTTTTCCCTGGGAACTCTTGTGATTACTCATAGTGTGAGCAGTTCCTGTCAGGTCAGCTTGCATATGAATGCACGGGGAACCTGAAGGCTGCAGTCTGTAATCACTAATGGATGTGGGGACTCATGCATGCTTCTATCTGCACGCTTAATTGGCTGTACTTACAGACCCAAGTGCTTGCCTAAACAGCTTCATTCCTGAAGGACTTCAGTTATGAGCTCTATTCCTTTGCACATATATGCCTTTATTCACCCATCAGACCTTTATTAGGCCGCTACCTACTATGTGCCCTGCAGCAGTTCCAGCTCATGACAGATATACAGATATCATTGAACTTCTGTGATCTATTATACTGGGTTGTTGGAAAAGTCATGACGCATTTTTGCAACGAAAAACATAGAAAAAATACATCACGACTTTTCCAACAACCCAATAAGATTGGCTATTATCCAGGAACTGGCAAGGGGACAGTGACAGACACTCTGGGGACATCACATACATCCCTATGGTGATGGTGGATGGGGGTGGGTGCTGAAGAACACAGCATCAGAAGCCAAAATAAAGGGAGAAATGGGCCAGCTGGAGGCTATAATGTCAGCCCCAGTGAGATAGGCCCACTCTGCACTATTAAGTGGCCTTTAATTAATACATGCCAGAAAAACAAACACATGAAATGAAAAAATGAAGCAAGCAGGAAGAACTGAGATAAGAGGAATGAATGCCCAGTAAAAACTCCCATGCCCATAAAAATAAATACATGCAAAAAATGGGGGGGGGTGTGGAAAATTGGGAGACAAAAATTATCATGTTTTAAACATCCAAAGTGTAATTCTACTTTTCCTAAAATTGTTCATTTACCTGACTTTTGCTCATTTTCCTTAAATTGTTCATTCTATCTGACTTTTCTAATGAACGTTATTAGGTTCATCAGATCATCTAGCCGTTTGTTGTGTTAATTTTGGTAAAAAAAGAAAAGCAAATACTAGGGAGAAATGAAATGTATCTTACAAGGGAAAACCCTTTATAAAGTTTAGTTATTAGAATCCATTATCATTTTACCCAAGTAATTACAGATCAGCCTATAGTTGAAACACGCGGCTATTATTCCCTGAATAGCAAGCAACCTCTACAGCTAGATTCTGATCTCTGCTCCATAGAGATGTGAGATGACAGAGGATGGAAAAAGTAGAAGACATAAAGGTTAATAATAAGAGAAAGATAATATTCTCAATAAAATAGTCTCACAACATAGAAAATCTTTTTTGAAAATCAAAGTTTGCCAAAACTCAATTTCAAATGTTTATGACTCACTATAATTTTCCTGTGTATGAGCTTCATTGTAATAAATTAAAATACGGGTGAAGACTGATTTCATCTGGTCAGAGAAGTGATATTTCTCTAGTAGTTCTTGCTTTATCATGGGGGAAATTTCCACTATAATAGGTTGCTTCAATTATTCCATTATGAGTAGAGTCTCTAAAAATAAGGATTACAAAAATATGAAAACCGTAAACTATGATTAATGGGATCGATAGTTAAAGAGCCCAAGATGGCAAGAAAATCTACACCAACTAAATAAAGAAAATTACCTCAAAATGAGCTAAATCTCTCTCCCTCAGAAGATGTGTTCTCTCCCCTTCTCCTGTCTTCTGCTCTCCATCGCACCCCTGCCTTTCCCTTCCTCCCCTAAATTCCATCCTCTCTTCCTTCTCCACCATCCCATACCAGCCTTCATGCTTCGTTTTCCTCACTGGTCAAAAAGGAATATAAATTAAACAAACACTATGTTACATTTTGTTAATAGTCATTAAATTCTTTGCACTTAATTCCTGATGCTCTTTTTTAAGGGTCACAGTGCATATTGATTAAGATTTTTATAGGCTATTTCTTCTTAAAAAAAATAATCTTAGAAAATTCAGAAACAAATGTGACCCTCTGTTTAAACATTTGAAATGTTATGGAAATTCATGGAGATGCTTCTAAGAAACAATATATGTAAGAACCTTCTAGCTAGTCAGCTTATTCTTTAAATAGAGAAGTAGACAATATAACTTCTATGGTCCCTTCTAATCCTATTATTGGACACTCCAGTGTTTTATGTTCTCCTGTTAGACAGAAAAAGGATTTAAATGACAATTTTATTAAAGATAGCATTCTTAGAGGACCAGCTAAGGCCATCTTTTAAATAACAATTTTATATCACTGATAACCCAATTAATAGGCCACCACAGAACACAGAAGACAGTTATTAACTAATTCTTCAATTATACCATGTTTTACTACATTTATAAACAAAGAAATTATTAAAGACCTGAAGGTTTTTTCTCTAATGTTTTGTTTTGAACAATGTTAAATTTACAGTACAGTTTCAAGAGTACTGCAGTGAACACCTGCCCCTCCTTCACTCAGACTCATGGATAAC